TATGAAAAGAGTGTCGCTCTGATGAATTTCTAGCATAACTTGAGCAAGAAACAAATCAACCTTGTCTAATAACCGAAGGAGATAACTTTGGTCCATTTTCTGAAAGTCAAAACAACAAAGAGTGACCATTAATGCATGAAGTGATGCAATAACAAATGAAATGTGGAATGATGCTATAAAGTAGAAATTGAACTTGCATATTATTTTCATTTTATAAAACATTGTATTGGACGAGAAACTTTTGTGTTCATCAAATTTGCATCTTTCTTACTTTTTTTACTTTATACTTTCCGCCAACATTCTAATTTTCCTCGCTAATATTTTATAGAACCTCTTAAAGATGAGTCATTGTTAGAAATTATTATCATAAATATTGCCAAATGTGTTTCAATTATAATTATTAATAATGCTGTGTGTCAAACTTATAATTGATTTGTCTTGAGAATATGTGACTGGTTTGATATAATAAAAAATTATAAGTATTTCAAAAAATATAGTTATTTTATGTCTTGAGATTATGTGGTTGATTGGATAGAACGAAAAAGTTATGACAAATCGAGCTATTTTTATACAAAAAGATTAATAAGCAAATAAAAAAGTCGCATTGCTCCTTGTTCAAGTTGATTTTTTGTTTCCTTTCGTGTTTAAATTTTTTTCACAAATTCTCATTATAGTATATTTATGTATTGAAGTTGATATTTAATCAATGAAAAAAAAGTCTATAAAACTCTTAAAAAGTATTAAAGATTCTATAGAAGTCCTAAACAATATCACATGTGACTTTTAGGAATTTTTAATGAGACCTACAAAATCCAAAAGAATTGATAAAATTCTATTTTAATGAAATCCTAAAAAGATGTTTAGAATCTTTTAGGTATTTATTTTAAAAAATAAACACCTCGGAAGGGCAGGAGTTAAGGCCGGACTCCTAACATGTATATAAAGATGGCCCAAGAGTCTACACGTCTAAACATCCAAAATAAAGAAAACAAACAAACGAAAACAACCAAGTAAAAAAAAAAACAATTAAAAAACGAAAGGATTGGAGCCTAGTCCAAATGGAGCCAAGGCTTCACGCTATTTTCTTTCTGTCCAGATAGACCAAAGGATCAAACAAGGAACGAGGAAACCCTCGTGTTTAATGTGTGTGCTTTGTGAGAAAAAACTCAGAAGGTCAAAGAAATTATCTGGAGAGAGAATGGGTATATGAATATAAGTGGCAAAATGCTCTCACACTCTCCTCACAACCTCGCTCTCTAAAAATAAATGTGAAAGAGTCTCAATCTGGAAACAACAACGAAGGTTATTTGCGAGATTTACCTATTACAACTGGCACGAAGAACATATAAAATGTAGGTAAAATAAGTCAAATCAAAATGCAAACGGAACCCTAATTGCGATTTTGGGTTTCTCTCTCCTCAACCAAACGCATATTTGCGCTTGACGCAAACGAAAAAAAAAAATGCTTTTGAATTTTTCAAAATTGGCATGAAGTCCAAATTTGTCAACAATTAACTTTTCTGCCAAAATAGTTTCTTTCAAGTTAAAATTGTCAACAGTTACTTCTTTGTGCTAAAATAATTACTATTTTATTTTATTAGTAACAAAGATTAAAAAATAATGATAATTTACTTATGTACTGTGTTTTGACGCACATTCTAAATATCTCAACTCCAAATTTAGCAACAATTGAAATAATTACTATTTATATTATGCTAGCAATTTAAATTATAAAATTTATTAAATTTATGTTAGCTTTTTTATGTAGATCTCCTGTATTTTTTAGTTGTTTCATCAATTTATCCATTGTGAAAGGAAATTGTGAAAGTTTTTTATTAAAGAATGATTAATACTATATATGATGTCATTTTTATAGGATCTCATTGGAATTTTGACTTCTGTTTCAATCATTTTTACAAAAAAAAAAAAAAATGTCGGTCATATTATTCAGATTTCTCATACCAAAAATATCGAATCGAAGCTTACCAATAATAAAAAAAAATGGAGGACACATTTATTCTAAATTTTTTTAACCAAAAAAATCGAGACACTCCTTATCATGCTAAAAAAATTGAGTAGTGCATTTCACACAAAAAAATATTTGAAGTGTCGCAACAAAAAAAGAATTAAATCGAGACCAACTGATTATGCAAATAAAAAATTGTCTAGAGCATTTCTTGTAAAAAAAAATTGAGACACGCACATTATATCAAAATATTGTTTCATATTATTTTTCTGGAGTGACGATAATTTCATTATTTTAATTTCAAACAAAAAATTGAAGTAAAAATGGAGACCCACGCCCAGAAATCAATACATTGGTCTGCGCATTTTAGAATAATTTCCTTCAAAAAAAAAGTCATCAAATAAACCAAATAAATTTGCCCATCTTGTATCATATATTGATTAATTTATTTTCTATAGAAACTACCATCAAATACCAAAAATAAATTCGGTCGCTTTCTGCCATATATTGATGATTTATTTTCTATAAAAAAGGCCATCAAATGCCAAAAATATATTTCCCACTTTATACCATATATTGATTAATTTATTTCTTACAGAAGAAGTCATCAGATACCAAACATAAATCCACCCATTTTATACCATATATTGATTGATTTATTTCAAATATAGTAAATAGAGTTTTCTTTTTCTTTTTTTCTTTTTTTTTTTTTGTTTGCGGGAAACCATAACTATTTCATAAATAATCAAATCTTTATATATGTATAGATTAATCAAACAAATACTAATTAAGAATGAAAATATAACTTGGATGAAAAACTATACATTTTTTAACAATATTATAAAGCAGCGCAATTAAATAAAACATCAGACCAAATTTACTAATAATTATATACCAAAAATTGGCCCAATAATAAAATTTATGTGGCCCAATTCTTATTGCAACAAACAACAAAATTTAGCCCACTTACATTATTTAACCGACCCACTTTTTTTTTTTCACTAAAACGGGCCCATTAAAATCAACCCAAATAAGTTAAAATTTAGGTTGAATAAACGAAAAATATCCTACCCAAATCAACTCCAATGCCTCAATCATGTAAGCCTTGTTTTGTTCTAATACACCGATCGAACGGTTACCAACTAAGAACATCAGAGTAATCCAAATAAATAATTAAATCCGTTATAGATGACACCAGATTTGAAGCAAATTTTCTATGGGAAATCTATACCATACACAAGTCATTCAAATATGTACCATATGGATTTAAATACCTGAATGAAGATCAAAAGTTATTCAAAATTTGAATTTAAATCGGATTTACAAAATAAGTAAGTTAAATGTTTTGGCTCATTTTTTTTAACTACAAATGAATAATCCATCAATCTCTTTTAGTATATATACGCAATTACATTAAACTACAACAACATTTCTCATAATTGACCCTCATTTTTGTTGCACTAAGATCTCATATAATGGGAATGGGATGCTTTGTGCATTGTGGAATTATTTTTACAGGAGATGGTACGGTTCCGTTACGGAATCATTCTGATGAAAATTATAACCGTTAAATCTACTATTCCCAATGGTTACATGATAATCTAACGGTTACAATTCTCGACGAAATAATTCTGAAAGCTCATTATCCGGGAAGATTTGGACCATACATCCATAAATTCGGTTCAATTATGGACAATCAAAGGAGATTCAAGATTTAGGAGATGGACCACAAAAGTAGTGGGCAAGAGGGGCATAACAGGTCATTACCGAGTTAGTTATAGCCTTAATGGGGGGAATTGAAGGGCAATGGGTCCCAATCCTAAGCATGAGGGACAGGTTGGAGCATTTGTAGGCCCATGTGTTGATTTAGACTCTATTGTTTGGGACAATATTTTTTGAAATTATTGAACATGTCACAAAAGTTTTTTACTTTTTTTTTTACTTTACCTATCTTTTGACCCTCTCTCTCTCTCTCTCTCTCTCTCTCTCTCTCTCTCTCTCTCTCTCTCTCTCTCTCTCTCTCTCACACACACACACACAAACACAATTCAAGAGTATTATACATTTATACACCACTTTTTTAGAACTGAATTGGTATTGGTATATTAGTCCACAGCCAGTTTTTACCCACGCTGTTCTCTTGCCTTTCGACATTCTCAAAGCCCTTTTTCCTTCTTCCCCACCCCCATTTTTTTTTTCTTGCTTTTCTGCATAATCCACTCCGCAGGGAGGCACATTTTGTGGAGGTGGTAGCTCTATTGTTAATTTCTTTCTCTTTCTAGAGTTAATGTAGTTTGATTTTAGTTTCTTTTTTTTTTTTTT